GCCAGACTCCGGCCACCACGGCATCGAGCTTTTTCCTCTGGGTTTGCGCCTCCAGCTCCAGCACGTCGAACTAGGCCTTGGTCCTTCGACGGTATTCTGCAGGCACCAAAAAGATCCGTCAAGCGAATAAGTCACTTAACCAATAACTCCGACCACGAACTACTCACCTTTTAGCTCCTCGGCTAGTTTCTCTGCTCGCCCAGACGCCTTCTTCTCCTTCTCTTGGAGTTGATTGATGACCTGACGCAACTGGTCGAGCTCTGCATCTTGCTGTACAAAAGTGACGCTCGTTAGCAACATTAAAGTTGTTCGGCAATACAGAAAAAGTTCACCGATCCGCAATACCTTTTTTCTACTCCGAGAAGCTTCTCAGCTGCTCGGAGCTGCCACGCAACTGCTTAGACATGGTCGCCAGCTGCTCGGATAAAGCCCCCTTTTGGTATTCTAGATCCCGCGCGTTAGATTCGACAAGATCCCGCTCACGCTGGGCCCTCTGGACGTTTTTCTCCATGAGCTTCAACGCCTCCTTTAGCTTTGTGTTCTCCTCAGTGAGGGGCTCCATCCTCTTGATCAGCTGCCGTCGTTGTTCGGCAGTTCGCGCTATGCCCTGCAAAACCACCAAGATTATGAAGAGCTCCAATCTCCAACGTCAAAGATGAACATTGTTGACGCAATACTAACCTTGATCTGCTTCATCGATGTGGAAAGGGTGGACTCTAGCCTCCTGATCTCCTTGGTGGTGTCCTCCTCTTCCACAACCACCACTTCATCGCCTCGCTTGCGGAGAATCCGGACGGTTTGAGGACGTGCTTCCTCACGCTCAATCTCTTCTACCTCATCCTCCTCCGTAGCTGGTGGCACCACCTGGGGGCTCGGTGGCCGCACAGCATGTCTAACCACGCCCTCTGATGTTTCAGGGAGTGCCGCCTGCTCCTCTGGCACCACCAGTTTCTCCGCTCTAGACTCTGGCACGGCGGCGACAACTCCAGCATCTGCCTCCGAAGACCCGACGGCTCCTGCCGTTGCCCCTGGCATCGCCGCTGACTCATCCACTGACATCGCCAACCGTTCTCTGCCGCCAAGTACATCCACAGCGGCGGTTGACTCCTCCGTAGGCCACTGAGCACCCGGGGACTCCGGGATGTGGTCTGCCGGCATTGCCTCTGCGCCGGGACTAGCCCCCGGTTGTTCGCTAGTTTGGACGGACGGATTCAGATCCTCTGTACGCCTCGCTCTGCATCAGATTAGTTCATCAATCGCCGCAACTATAAGGATCCGACAGCAAACTGCATCCAAGGCAAGGAAACATACACGTCGGCCTCCCGGTACACGGTTCTAAATCGGTGCTGCCTCCCTGAGCCCCCAGGCATGGCTCTGGGGTCAACCCATGTGCCCTAGGCTGAAGGTCTCGTGGCCCCCACCTTTGGCCTCTCCTCCGCCTGTCGCTCGAGGACTCCCTTCGCCTGCTGCTTGAGGACTCCTTTCGCCTGTTGCTCGGGGACTCCCTCCCCTCCTTTCGACTGCACCTCCGCACGTGTGTTGCGCGGCAGCGCCTCAGTGCTCGGAGGAGGAGCCACTAGAGCCCCGTTGTCGTCTGACCACTCGAACATCGCCGCACTCTGCGTCCAAGTGGTCTAGTCACCGCCAAGCGAGATGCCACCCGGCTTGCGGGGAGCTACACCCACCGTCTTCCTCTTCTTATGGGCCGGCTCATCTGGCACCACCCTTTTCCCCTGGACTTTCTTCGACACCGGGGGGGACTCGCCGTCTGACCAGCGTCTGGGCCTCTAGACTCCGACAAGGCGCTGACGACACCTTCCTTAGGCTGAGTTGTTGGCCGAGCGTCCACTGCCTTCGGCCAATCGCTCCTTGGCACGCCCGAGAAGTATGCCGCTCATTCCTACGAATGGGTCTTTCCACAAGTGAATCAGTTCACTGCTCACCAACGGTACAGGATAAAAAGCATAAGCAACAAACAGTTGAGACTTTTACCTAAGGGAGCGGGTTCGTACAGTTGAAGGCTCTCATCTGCCCTTGCACACTGAATGACATGTTCAGAGCGAATATTTCAGCTGCTCGACGCATCACATCATCCCTCGTCAACCTCTCCATCCTCTCCCGGGTGCTGTCAGTGTCCCCCTTGAAGTCAAAGCCCGCGTGGGCCCTCTCCTTGTAGGGCTGGACACAGCGCACTATGAAGCTCACCGCCACCAGAGCGACGTTCATCTTCATGCCCTTTATCAAGCTGAGGAGTTCCCTCACCTGATCCATATCACCACTGCTCGGCTTCTCCATCCAGCTCTTCTGGTTCTCCGGAATGTGGTCGATGTCGCAGCGGATGGTAGGATGGCTCTGCTTCATGTAGAACCACCTGGCGTTCCACCCCTTCAGTGAGGTGTTCAGCGGTACAGTGATGTACTCGCCCACCATTCCATCACGAGTTGCAGATACACACCGCCGACCACCCTGGTACCGCCGCCGCCCTTCTTCTTTAGCCAGAACAAGTGACGGAAGAGGTTGAAGTAGGGAAGAATCCTGAGATATGCCTCACAGAAATGGATGAAGATAGAGATGTGCAAGATGGTATTTGGGTGGAGATTGCACAGACTAACTCCCCAGAACTCCAGTCAGATCCCTCAAGAAAGGATGAACAAGAACTCCCAATCCACGCCAGAATTAATCTTCAAACACTACAACTTCGTTGGTATGAGGCATTAGGTAGGGCTCACCGTTGGTCGGCCGCCATCCGACGGTGACACGATCTAGAAGAACGCCCGCCTCCACCATCCTGTTGATCTCCGCCTCTCCCATGAGCGACGGCACCCACTCATTGTCACGACTTGCTCCGGCGGCCGCCTTCTTCGGGTTTCCAACTCCCCTCTTCGACGCCATCTCTCAGATCTGGTTTGGGAAAGACGGCGGAAGCACGTGTGAATATGAATCGGGAAGCGCGAGGGTGAGGAGGAAGATGAAGTGGTGAAGTGACAAAGGTGGGAGCGCGGAGTGTGGCGGCACAATTATAAAGCACTCCCCCCCACTTTTCGCATTCTAAGGGTTTTTGGGAAACCGCTCCACGATTTGCGCCTCTTCAAATTCTCCAAAACGGCGTGATGGGCCGTTACCTGAGCTTTCGCGCAACTGCAGCCCGTATCGCCCATTTTTCGCCGTAATTTGTTACTGCTCACCCCATATTCGCCGACTTCTCCACAATCCATTAAGGCTCAGTAACTCCCACTATACAGCCATTACTCCGATTTTTTCTCCACGATTTGATTTCTCCAAGATTTTCACTTGTGGCTCGAGGACTGCGTCATCAATACGACTTGGTTCCTCACCACACTAGGGACTTTCTTCTGTTCACTGTTGTTTCTGACCCTAGCACCACATGACCAAGTCACCTACTGTCAGGCTCGGGGACTAAGTGGGCACACTTCACCTTACGGTGAATGTGCTTTTCTCATTTCGGGGCTACGCCCGGGGACTGGCTGCCTGCTTGGCTGGTCTTTTGTTTTTCTTCTACTTTGGACCCTGGCACCACGTGACTACGTCACCTACTATCAGGCTCGGGGACTAAGTGGGCACACTTCACCTCGCGGTGAGTGTGTTTGCTTTAATCTGAAAGACTCCGTGCCTCCTGAAGTTGAAGAAGACTATCTCCCTTTCTCGTGGTCGGACTCTAAGTGGGCACACTTGGTCCACTGCGAGAAAATTTTTGATTTTGAACTTGAGCTCCTTATATCCTTATGGCAAGCCTTATTTGGGATACACTGCTCGGCGACGGTTCACACTGCTCGGCGATGGTTCACAACTGCTCGGCAACTCATCACGGTGGTCGGACCATGAGTCTGACTGCTCGGCTTTGTTCGCACCTGCTCGGACAAGCTCAAGACGGCATTGCACAACGGATACAAGGCGCTCGGGGACTAGCTGTGGGGGGTACGACCCCGGATACCCACTGCAGACTACATGGGCTGCGCCCCCAAGGGTGGCCCAGCCCACAAGACGAAAGTTTATGGAGCACGACGACTTTGCTTTCGCTGGCGTCCGCAAGACACCGGAAAGATATCCTGAAGATACTACGAGATCTGTTAGGATACGTATGATCCCATGATTCCTGTAATCTGTTATTACTTTCCGGTTATCTCCTAAATCTAATCGACTTGTAACCCTGCCCCCTGGACTATATAAGGCGGGCAGCGACCCTCTCAAAACACACGCAATATCATACGATAGCCAATACAATCCAACAGACCACAGAAGTAAGGTATTACATCGCGTTGATGGCCCGAACCTGCCTAACTCTTGTGTCTCTGTTGCTTCTTGTTCTCGATTACATGCATCTCTGCCGATCAATCTACCTTCGTGAGATACCCCTCAGAGGACTACCGACGATATTCTGTCGACAAGCTGTAATGTGCCTGACTGGCCACTCCCATTCCTCAGCCCCCACAGCAGCCTCCGGGCTCTCAAAATCCTAGTTTCTGGGCAGCCCTCACGGCCATCGAAGTGGAGCAGGAAGGTAAAGTTTGCAAGCAGCCAGGTGGAGCAGGAACCCTAACTCCCTCAGCCTCTCAAGCTTACACATTCCAACCTAACAAAGCCTCTTCTGTGTGTGTACTTGAAAAAACAAAACAGGAATCATAACTAAGTTTGCAAAACCAAAAAAACAAGACATTGCCATTCGTCCTAAAATTAGTAAACCCGGAAGCTTTTGGCTGGCTGCTTGCAAACTAGCAATTCAGGCCACAGAATAAATGGCAAACTAGCCTCCTACGGTTGAGGGGGCTCCTGTTTAGACTCCCGTTGCGCAAACTATTTAGGTTGACGAAAACAGGGACACAAAACAGCACACACAGCTCTAGTGAGAGGCAAGGGACGTAAGAAGTCGTCTAATTCTTTGATTGAATTAGGCACCTTCTTCGTCCCACGCTCCTCTCTTTATTTGTAATTTAGCATGCTAACTTCTAATCTGCAGGATCTAAGAAACACTTGATTCAATTATGGACGGATTGGTAGGCCTCTTGAAAGTCCGGGTGGTCCGGGGGATCAACCTTGCCTACCGCGACGCAAGAGGCAGCGATCCATATGTCGTCATACGACTTGGCAAGAAGGTTTGTGTGTTCTTCTTGTTGCATTCTTAACTTTTGTTCCATCCTAGGAGTATCCAGCATTTTTTTTGGCGTTGTTGATCCCTTAGCGTTTGATTATATTGCAGATAATGTATGAGTCCTTATCTCACCTAGTCAAGTGTTGTCTTTTATGATCTGCATGCAGAAACTGAAGACAAGCGTGAAGAAGAGATCTGTCAACCCCATCTGGCATGAGGAGCTAACTCTGACCGTCACAAATCCCAGCCAACCACTCAAGCTTGTGAGTGAGCAGCAGATCGATTTGTTTGTTGCCATGCATGCATTCTAGATTGTCATGTACAATGTATTCCTTGTCTGAGTATGTAGTATGAGTACTGACGCACAATTATCTACATATCTCTTGTGATGCATTGCTGCATACAGGAGGTGTTCGACAAGGACACATTCAGCAGAGATGACCCGATGGGAGACGCGGAGATCGACGTCGCGCCATTGATGGAGGTGGTGAACATGAACCCGGAGGAGATCAAGAACGGCGCCATCATCAGGTCCGTGAGGCCGAGCACCAAGAACTGCCTCGCCGACGAGAGCCACGTGTGCTGGAGGAACGGCAAGTTCGTGCAGGACATGATCCTCCGGCTCAAGAACGTCGAGAGCGGGGAGATACAGCTGCAGCTGCAATGGGTAAACATTCCTCCTGTTGCAACCAGGTGAAGTGACCTGCATCATCCGATCGTAGCTGCTGTTCCTGTCATTGCCTGACAGGCACAGGAATTCTCTGAATCGATGAGCACGGGACGGATGCCTGCATCTGTTCATCCGCGAAATGAAGCGTCCCGTTTCAATCGCATTTTCACCTCTTGTGAATGTCGGATTGTATATAACTTAACCAGCAATGGGGTCAGGGTAGTTGATGTTGCTTCGTAGGGGGGAGAAGAAACAAAAAAAAAAAAGGAGAGGAGAATAATGTCGGATGGCGCTGCCAAAATGTATATATCCGGGGACAGGACACGCACGGCTTTGTAAAGTTCGGGACAGCATAATTGAAGTCAAGTGGTAGGATCCTGTTTGGTAACAAACACCGTATCTTTGTCTGGACTGGAACAATGAAATTCCTACCACAAATTTAACATACTCTGAAACAAAAAAATATTCACAGTACTACTTGTATGGGTGTGTCATGCCGGTCCCCGTAACGTACTCACACATTGAATCATTTCGGTCCATAATCGATGTTTGGGTCTCATTACGTCCAATCGGGTGTGGACCAGCATAGTGTCTACATGGCTTGCCACGGTAGACGTCTTATGTGTACTAAGAAGCCTCAGAACTGGTGTACAATTTTACGTAATAGCGCCTATCTATAAAAGTGTTTTATTGCTGGTCATTCCCGACCCTAACTTTTCGTCTTCTCCGCTGGTGGCAGAGGACTCGGAGGTGTGTTGTTGTGGCCATCGCTGGCAAGGGAGTCAGCGCATGAAGGAGATTATATTGGAGAAGCAGGAGGGGCCGACGCTAGACAAGCATGCTGCCGATTGCAACGGAAATGGGATGCAAAACCTTTGTACAGTGAGTTGATGATGCCCTAGTCTCTGTGCTTTTCTTAGATTCTGTGATGCAGAACGGGATCTTTTACTTGACGAAATCTGCACCATACACGCTGGCCTCTCATTGGGCCACGTCACCAAAGAAATATCAGCCGTCAGATCTCCCGGCATTGGCGGATCCAGGGGGGGCTGGGGGCTGCAGCCCCGTGAGAGTGATTTTGGCTTGTTATTACTGTAGAAAAAACGTAATTTCATCGTTAATCTTCGACATTTGTTCTAAATCTTTATTAATTAGCCCCCCGAGGTGCTCATCTTGGCTCTGCCACTGTCTCGGACCATCAAACTAGCGCTCCTATTCTAGAGTTTTCTCAACGCTGTCACACGCCTCACTCCTCCGGTTGTCATCCTCAGCCTCTCGACACGGCGCATCGAATCCTCGCTGTTGCGGCCCTCGCCTCCTCCTCACAGCAGTAGTTGCTCCCGTGGCGATGAGCGTCGCTGCGTCGGCAAGATGGTGGAAGTAGAAGCGACATGCGGCAGCGGCCGAGGCGTCTTGGCCCCACACTTCCCGTGCCCCCGCCCTAGCTCTCGCTCCCGGTGGAGCTGGCCGGGCCAGCCGGCGGCCGCCCAGTGCCCCAGTCCACCGTGCGCTCTGGCCCTGCTGGCCACCTCCCGTCCCTGGTGAGTGCCAAAGCCTGAAACTGGATTCGCGTTGGTGTTTCTGAAGACAATTTGTTCATTTTAGTACCAGTAATGTATATGCAAAGTCAGAGCTGCCCCATCTGGCTTGCAATCTAAGGTTTATAAAGTTTTGGAGAAGTCCATGTGGAGCAGATGACACAGGAAAGTGACTTTCAGCGGCAAGATGGATAACCTACTCCCTCCGTTACAAATTATAAGTCGTTTTGACTTTTTTTTTTGTTCATCCACTTTGTTATATATCTCTAGATGCATAGTAAAATAGATGTATCAAAAAAGTCAAAGCGACTTATAATTTTGGACGGAGAGAGTATTGTTAAAATTTGCTCTATGATTTCCATCTTTGATATTGCTAACCATTCTGATAAATCAATTATTTTGTTCGAATTCACAGCCAATGAAGTGCATCCTGCAGCGCATGAAGTATAAATGCAGTTAAAAAAGTTAACCAAAAGGAAATAGGAAGCACAGCAATTAGGCCAATCGAGTTATTAATTGGACGGCAGGACTGAAACTCAAATCAAATCCATGTCTTCCTTCCCTTCTAAGAGACTAAGACTATGGCTAATACTTCCCGGAGGAGCAGCAGCACGAACGAGTTAATTTATAGTCATGTATACCGAGCTTTTTTTTTTACCATATTGCATACAAAAAGTTTTGGTGACAAGAATGAGGTAAACTTTTTTGACTAGGACTACCCTTGTTTTAAATACTAGGTCCACCACTGTAACAAACCAAAGAAACCTAAGATATTGAGTGGTGGAACAGTACAAATGTTCAGTAATTCCACTACTATATTATGAGAAGTGGTCACAGATATATATACTCCTATTTACTTAACTTTTAGTGGTCACATAAATAGGATTTCTCCTGTCTTTTCATTTTGATTTAACTATCATTATATTTAATAACTAAGGTATGCCACTTCGTCTGTTCTAAGTCAGAAATAATGCTATAAACTTAACAGTCAAATAATTGTTAGATATCATAACAGTCCATGTCCATCCAATCTTAACCATGTACTTCTATCCATCAAGTGCATTGTATTTGTACGAAAAACACATACCTAATTAACTGTGCTCTCATACTGCGAGTATATAAAATCTGTAATAATGATAACATTGTCAACGCAGATAATTTCTATGTAAATGTTGCTGCATGAGCTTTGTTTTCTAACAGCTTAGTCTGCTGACTAGGAACAGGCAACAACCTTATACTGTCAACTTCAAATATCTGTTCCTTTATTATTTGACTAAATTAACATACTTTTTAGTAATCAACAAAGAAATTAAACCTGGAAAGCGAAGGTACCTCCATGTATCTCTACTTGGTCTATTTTATTGTTTTGCCTTTAGGTCCTAATGTCCTATAGATGTTATTATATTCTTAATATTTTGTAAGCAACATGGATCAGGTTGAGTGCCTTCGCCAGTAAATTGGTCCTTACTTTACCTTCCTGCTCTTACTTGTGGCCAACTAAGATTAAGGAGTATAACCGTTTTGCGTATCGTTCAACATCCACATCACAAGTACTTACAATAAATGATATATAAATGAAATGGTTTATGATAAGAGTAATACATATTGGTAATCATTGCCAACCTTTATCTCCTCTTATTCAGGGAATGTCCAGCACACTTGAAAGGTGTCTGCAGTTTGATATTTCTAGCTCCAAGGTGCTCTGAGCTCCTGATTTTGGTCGGATGCGTGGCACTTTTAAAAGAAGTATGGCAAAAATTTTGTTTCTACCGCAGTTAACTTGCATCCAGATGCTGCTCTTTCGTATAAATAGATGCTGCCGTTAATAACTTCATAACCTTTCAAGCATGTATGATTCTTTAGTAAAAAATTTAGTAAATCGCTGAACTGTATATATTTCTTATGTTTGGTCTTCCCAACTTTGAAAGTCCGAATTTGAGCCCTCTTTGAATCTGATCGAGAATCTGGGCAAACTAAGCTAAAAGTTATAAAGGATATAGCAAAAGAACATCAAGTTGATTGGGATAAGTTAATCGTATGTGGTACAGAACCCCCCATGTGCATATTTTTATCTTGCATGCCTGATATCTTCAGATGATAGGTTTTGTCTGTTGCATAAAAAGTTTTTTACACATGATTACTGATGGACCAATAAGATCTGTGTGGATTTGTATCATGCGATTATTGCTTATTTAGTGGGTTGTTCAATTTATGGAGGGTTATCGAGGTCAAAAGACTCTTCGCATGGCTATAGAGTAATTTACATTTCCTGCAATAGTAGTCTCCAATAAGATCTTTTTTTTTTTGCCAATTAGTCTCCAATAAGATAACTTGCATATATAACTCAGGTACCTAAAAATATGAGCTTGTATATCTACCCTTTTCATATTAGTGCAGCAATCTACACAAAAATTAGCACTGGCTCTCAAAGATGGCGCGGCAACGCCGCGCCTTGGTTTTCAAGTGCAGAACGGATCCAAGCAATCGCTTCCATGTTTGGCGCCGGTATCACAACACAATCCAATATCATCTTTGCCAAAAGTTTTGAACCTAAACAGTTAATTATGTGCAGAAGAGAAATTGCATGTGTGGGTTGAAGATGCAGGAGGGGTCAAGTCTCATGGAGCACCTGGATGTCTTCAATTAGATGGTTGTTGACCTAGCACATAGAGATGTGAAAATTGATAATGAAGACAAGAAAATAAATTCTTTTGTGCTCTCTACCACCATACTATGAGCATGTTGTTACTACACTATCACATAGCAAGGAAACTATCCAAGATTGAGGATATTACTACAACATTGCTTGCTTGAGTACAAAGGAGGAAGAACAATGTAGTGGAGACACCTCATGATGAAAGCATGTTGGTCATTGGTGAGCATAGCAGGGGAAGGTGGAGGCCAAGGGCAACATGAAGAAGAAGGTGTGGTGCTTCAAGTGCGAAGATTGGGGACATGTGAAGAAGGACTATCTAGGGAAGAAAGAGGCAAGTGCTAATGTTGCAACATCTGTGGGTGAATCAGACAATGAGAGTAATCTTCTCTAGTTAGTAGAGAGATGGTGTTGTAGCTGTACAAGATGCAAGGATGCATTGTTGGAGGTAGAGTCACTGGGAATGAAGTTGCAAGGGTAGCAGGGCTTTCGGTGGCTGTGGTCTAAGGCCAAGTCAGACTTGTTGGGCTACTCTTCGTGAAACATCAAAGTGAGACAACTCAAGTCTAGAGTACATGGTGATTCAGCCATGACAAGTTTCAAAATGGGGAAATATTTGCCAAGGTAGAGATTGATATAAATGTGTCCAATATTTATTTGTACTAAATATGTTATAGTGGACTTGTGTTGTAATTAGCATTAGAGGGTTAGGTGGAGCTAACTGTTGGGCTCTTGTAATCAGTCCTCTCTATAAAAGGGAGGGCTGCTGTTGTAACCCAAGGGGACATAGTGGTAGCACAAACCACATAGTGACAGGCTCACGGGAGGGTGTTGGC